GTTCATGACGTTAGTTTTTCTTTTAAAACCAAAACAAAATAATTCCAATAATTTCTTCCTTTAAATATCATTTTTTTTCCTTCAAGGTTCTTAGCATTAATTATTTGAAATCTGCATTGTTAATTATGCAATGACAGATAGTTGAGTTATCTCTAAGAACTGGCATGTGTTTCCTTTTTCTTTCTCTTCGTTTTAAGTCGAGACAATCTTAATGTATCTCTTACAAGAGAAATCGTTACTTTGGTTTTAGTTTGGAATTCCAAGAGTTGATAGTAGATACGTAAAGGCTTAATAATGAAGATCTTGATTATCAAACTCCTTTCAAAATAAGTTTAGATAGTATAACAAGGAATTGATAGGGATCCTGTATATCTTTACAAATATTTCATAGAAAATAGTATATAAGACGATTTGTAGAATGAAGCACATGGTAATCTAGTCCTTGACTTAGAAATAAAATAAAAAATTAAGAAATGTAATGTAGTCCATTTTGATAAGTCTTTTCTTTACAATCGATTTGGCTGCTGTTGAGGCATAAAGGGTAAAATAGAAAAGGGCAATGGGGGAGCAAAATGAAAATCCCAGTAAATTTCTTCCTAACATTAGAGTAACGGGAAAAAGTAGGAGAAGAAAATAGATTTTAAAAAATTCTCCCATGAACAAACTTAAGCCTCTTTAAATTGAAGTGAATGCGTAAGAGAATGAAGCCTAATAAAATGACAATATTTTTATCTTTTATAGATGATGGTGGATCTAGGAATCGAGATATAATAATAATTTCAATCTTTTTAGAATCTTCCCCTTGTTTATTTTTTTTTAAAATTTTATTTCTTTTTAGTTTCTTGCTCTTTGTTTTCCTCTTCTATCCAAACAATGCATGGATCGACAATATCAATCACATCACCTTATTTTTTTCCCTTCTAATTTCAATTTTATTCCCGAACATAATCTAAAACGACAATAAAAAGCAAGACCTTATCCCTAGATGAAGAGGCATTTTGGTTGAATAGTCTACACACACACACACATAGCAGGCATGGACGTGACGTGTTACATATATAGATGCATAGCTAATATGTTGATTAGGAGACCCATGCTGCAAAGTTGAGGTGCACATAAGTCAAAAGGTAAGTAAGATTGGATCTGGGCAGTGGGGCTAGCTCTAGCCATAACTGGTTTCTTCTCTTCTCTTTTCTTTTTTAATATATACTATATAGTATTAGGAAAGAAACTTGGCCTAAATTAAACATGAGACGTGGACTTTCGAATATGATACTATTATTCTTCAAAAATGGAAGTATGAGAGTTTCCGGTATTGGGCACCTGAATATATCTGCCTGTTCAATTGAGGGAATGGCTTCAAGGGAGGAAATGGAGGGAGCCAGCCATTCGACGAGGATGTCAAAAGTTGTACATCTTTTAGAGCCTGGCTAGAAAATGTAGGGCACTACCATTTTAATATTTCTGTACAGAGAAAGAGGGTGAAAAAATGATGTCTTTGCCAGTTTGTGAAACTGCTCAGCCTTTGACAAAGGCCTGTGGGCTGAGAGATGGTGAAGAGTGATAGCTGAGCAAGAGAGGAGCCATCATTGCTAAAGAGCAAAGGCTATAGTTACATTCACAGGCATGGACCAACCCATGATGCTAAAAGAAGGGTCACAAGTCACACCACCCTCCTCTCTCTCCGTCTATCAGCAAAATGCCTGCCTGTGGCTGGCCCTTTATAACTCACAAAATCCCATGGCTAATCATTTGAAATTTATTTTCCTTGAGAAAGCATTGGATACGTAAAACATGGATGAATAGTAAGAAAGGAAGGGGACCCTTTATAAAAGTTTATAGCCAGAATCCTATATATTAACCATTCATAATTCATATGTATACATGTCTCCCCTTTAGCAAAAAGATTCACAAAATTTTAAAGCCGCACCACTCCCAAGCTACATAACCATATCCGGCCCTTTCTCATCATTCAAATTTTAAATACCAAAGGTGGCAGTGGTAGATATTGTATAATTGAAGTGAAAAAGATCATGATCTATCAATCAATGGGATGGAAAAAAGATTATCTACTTTTTAGTTTCATATCTCCATTTCATGCAAAAGATATTGCCCAGTTTTGATCATGATAACTGTTTCACAGGAGTGCCTGCTTAATTAGCTATGTGAACCTTTTCTCTTATTTTGAGAAATTCTACTATTTGGCTTTGTGCTTCTTCTCGATTAAAAAAAACAATTTCGTTCTCGGGAATGATCTGTCGTCAGGTATCATGCTCTGACAAAACCCTACATCTACATCTACATCTACATCTACACGGATTTTTTTTTTAAATAAGATTACAATTTGAACTGAATGCCGGACAAAATGTTTGTAATTTTTTTTTAATACGATAATAAGTGCCTTTAAATGGTAGGCCTAGCCTTTGTTTAAGCTTTCGCGTCCATTGCATGGGTGGGTCGAACCAAGAATGATGGTATTAGTTATGGAAGCAAAACCTTTGGATTTGCATGACTGCATGCTTGTGCATTGCATTTAATTGAAAGGGTGGTAAATATTTGAGTTTTTTTTTTTTTTTTTTTTTTTTTTACAAACTAGCATCTTCCCATGGTTGATTTGATGCCTGGGCTTCTTGTTTGAAATATTGCTAGCATGTTTTTATGGATTTTGGCATTTAAAAAGAGTAACTAATTATCACTGGATTTCTAAATATATCTGGAGTAGTTTATTTGAGAAAACACAGAATATCCATTAGAATTCAGAACATATTTTGCATGAGAACGACTAATTACAGAGAATAAAAATCTTATAGAGTCTTTAAGTTGCGGTTTGATTTAATCAGTGAATAACTTGTTGTAGCAGGGTGTGTGCAAAAAGTTCAATATCGACTGGTGGTAACAGGGTGTGTGCAAAAAGTTCAATATCGACAAACTTTATGAAGCCTTAAAAAAAAATATTTTTGCTTCCCCTGAACAAGATGTTACTTTCAATCAAGTATCTAGAAAGCTGTAATACACCAAAAAAATACGTGTAATGTTACTAACCCCGTATTACTAGTGTTTTAAAAGCGAAGTTGCAGCTAAATATTATTCTTGTCCACACATTCTTTGTCTGCGAATCTCAGAAAATTTGGTTTTAGCTGATAATGCACCAATATTTTTCAATGTAAACTTTGTGATAATCAAATCATATGTTCCTATATCTAATTATAAATATTCCTCAAATGCAAACTAGATCACTTGGAAAGCGAGATTATGCGATTTCTAATGCCTGCCCATGGTTTCTTAAAGCTTTATTTTTTCACATGAAGTTTTGTTTTTAAAAAAATACCTCCTAGCATTTTATTAATGTATTCAATAACCAGCATGGAAATGGAGCTTTTGTTCCACAGGCACCGTCGGTCTCTACTTGGTGCTGCCTTTACACTGACAATGTATTACATGTGCCGCTACAAGCATAATTTTCTTTTTAAATATATATTTTTTAGATGTAGATGATGTATTTAAGCTTTTTAAGAAATAATTTCAATATATGAAGAAAGTTGATCTGATTATATGTTTTCCACAAAGATTCAAAAGAAACATTATGTAATTCTATCAAAACTTCCAATTACCATACATACATGACTTAGTTTGTTAGCAAACTTAAGTAACATTAGGTAAACAGAAACACATAATAGTATTTGAAATAAAGTTTGTAAGATCAAAAACTTTATATCTATTTTTCTGTGGAAATCTGTAAGCTTTAAATAGAAAGGAGTTTCTCGTTTTTAAATTTGTGAAAAAATAATTAAAGCTACCTGTCCGTAATGAGTTTGTTGGAAAATTTAGCTACAAATCTTCCCGGAATTTTTTTTTTTTATGTCCGATAAAGATTCCATAAGTACGTAGATTTAAGATCTGCATATTCAGAATTTTTTTTTATGTCCTATAAAGATTCAGTACGTAGATTTAAGATCTGCATATTCAATAGTTAAACTTTTCCATTATAATAAAATATAAATTTAGCATTACTCAACTAAAACACTTCATCTCACAATAACTCCTATTATATATATTCAAAGAATATTAAATAGCATTGTTTAATGCAAATTCTTGAGTAAAGTTTCATAAAAAATCATGCTACTACAGTGAATATGTAAGAACTGATATTCGTGTAGTAGAAACGAATGGAACAAGGAGAGGAGTTAAATAAAGAAAAACACAGCACCACGAGAAGAGATTTGATTTATCTAACAAAAGATCGCGGCGGCTAAGGATTCCCCAAATCCCGCCACCAATCACTCCCTAGGCATCACACAAACTTATCAGGGAGATGATTTTTTTTTAACGAAACGTTATTTAACAAGGGGATATTAGAATGATAAATCCCATACCTACGATCATGGATGGAACAAAACCAGACAAAATACCAAACTCATGCGCTAAGTCTTGTTTTTTGCTTAAGGTGGCATAAAACAACATGGGTTTTTGTTTTTGTTTTTTTCCCCCCCTTTTCTTGAGAACCAAAAACCACACAAGTGATGAAAATAGGAAGAAATATCACACTTCGATGGGTTCCGTGTTTCATCGTTCACATTGTTCATGCTACGCTCTCCTTGTAATGGTCAACTAGAAAAACCAACAAGCAATGTGAACCATACAAAAAATAGTTATCAAATTTAGCTAAGAAATTAGAGCATATTATGTAATGCAGGAGAGAAAATAGGTTTCAAATAAAAAAAATCATATAAACACATTTCAATTCCTAGAGAAAAATTGTGAAGTTAATAGAAGAAACAATTAAACTAAAAGCATTTTACTATCAAGAAAGGAATACTAAAAGGGCCATGATCGTTTGTATAGGGATGTACAAGGATCAGAAATTAATACATGGAAAAATGTAAAAAAAAAAAGGGAGAGAGCTAGTATTTACACAACTAGGAGAGATTGAAACGGAAATAAGATAAAATACAAAAAAAAAAAGGTGTCCTAATTAGGTTAACCAAAAGTCATGGTTAAGGTGGAGAGACAAAAAATATTCCTCTTTCATGCATCAACATAGATACTCACCGCCATTCTTGCTTTATTTTCTTCATCTTCATTCTCTCTCTCTCTCTCTCTCTCTCGCTCTCTCTCTGATTATGATCTCATTATCATATAGTTCTTAATGGTGATTATCATATATTAAGATACTTATATTCCTAATCAGAAGAACAAATCCATGATTCCATCGTACCTTCACTTCTTGTAGCCGCATTCTCTTGCCCCAGCTTATGGTCACCACAAAAATCTGATGATGAAGCCAAGAAGTTAACTTTCCCATTTGTAACACGCTGGGTTGAGTTATTGTAATCACCATTAATGGACCTTAAAAGACCTTGTTGTTGATGGTGATGATGATCAACCTCATTTGAACCAGCCCCATCTCCCCAGTTTGTAAGACTGTCGCTGTGATCCCTTCTTCTCACTAATGTTACATCTGCTGAGGGTGATGATGATGACACTATGTTTTGAAGGCCTGAAAGGTTTGTGTTAACATGGCCATGGTTCAACCCGAACTCTTCTAAAACAACCATTTTCAGATGTGAAACATTTAAAGGAATTTCTAAAGAACCTTGTTGTGGTTTTGTGGTGCCAAGAATATTGGGTGAATCTGGAAGCGGGTATTTGGGCGGGGCTTGAAGAAGTGGGTGGAAATTGTGAATTGGGTTTTGGACGTTGGGGTTGAGCAAGTTATGTGGCTGTTTCAAAAGGCCTAAATCAGAAGGTAGTTGGTAGTTAATGGATGTTAAAGGGATATTATTTGAAGTGGTGGTGTTAGTACAAGTGCCCTTGATGTTGGTTGTAGTAGTGGAAGCTATAGCATCAACCATAGAAGCAGAAAATGATGATGCAGCAGAACCTGAAGGGACAAATGGTGGTGCCGGTGGTGGAGGTGGTTGGAATGTTTTAGCGAAAGGTCCTAAGAGGTAGGGGGGTGGTGAAGGGTCCAAGTGGTGAGAGACAGGTGATCTCAAAGCGGAGGCTGCAGTCCCAAATAGATCAAGCCTGCTCCTTGGGAAAGGTGAAGATGTGAAGGGTGGTGCAGGGATCCCTGTAAACTCCTGAACCATGGCTCTGAAATTGGTGGTGTCCGTGCTCAAGACAGTTGTAGGTGCACGCCTAGAAGCTCTTGATCTTTTCTTCGGCTTTCTATGTTGCGCATACTGGACCAAAAGCAAACACAAATAAAACACAAACAACAGATTTACGTGGTTCCCCAAAATCGGGTACGTCCACGGAGGCAGCAGATTGTATATTATTGGAGGAATGATACAAACACTCAACTCAACCCAGTACAATCCCACTTAACCGGGTGTTTCACTCTTACACTCGGTGTTTCTCTCAAATCTGTATTTTCTCACTCTCACAGTTGCACTCACCACACTTTCACCCTTTTGCTCTCACCACAATTTCACTACACTTATTACATTGCTCTCTCTTTATCTCTATTTATAGGAGAGCCTTGGCAACTTGGTTGAGGGTGGTTGAGGGTGGTTGATGGTGGTTGAATGGTGGTTGGAAGTGGTTGATGGTGGTTGTTAAAGGAGAGGGTGGTTGATGGTGGTTGAGAAAAAATGTTGACAATTTGCTACATTCTAATCCCTGCAGTGTTGCTGACTTTATCGTTTGTCCCTGAAACTGAACCTGAACCTGGAACTCTTGTAGCACTTTCTTGTCCATGTGATGGTAGAGACTGAAAAGTGGTTCTATTTTGAGTTTGGGTGGTGAACTGTTGGGTTGGTAAGGAAGAGGAAATGAACCCACCAAGATCAGTGCAATTGGGGTCAGATCTTAAGTTCTTTGACCAGACCATATCAAGGTTGTGGAGTGAATTTGGGTTCGTAAGTGATTGTAGTGGTGATCTTGATGATGATGATGATGGTACTAAAGGATCAAAATAGTTTGAAAAAGGGTCAAAAAACATAGTTGAAGATGAAGAAGAGTGGTGGGATTGGTGGTGGTGATGGTCTGGTTCTGGCGGTTGGTTGCTAGGCATGGGACGAACATGGCTGAAAGGGTTGTTTTTGTTATTGTTGCTGTTAAAGAAAGCTGAGATTGACTCAGCGCGAGATGAATCATACTCTTCATCTCCACCACTTGAGGATTGCATACTTCCACTATTGCTAGAATCCATTTTTCTTCAAGAAAAAGAGAGAGAAACAAAAAGGGAAAGACGTAAAAGAAAACAGAGATATGTATGCAGTGAAATTTTTGCTGATGTTACTTGTAACTCACACACACAGGCTCATTTTAAGAAGGGGGAGAAAGAACCTCCAAAACAAAGCATGATGTATTATAAAGAAGAAAGAAAGAAAGAGAAAGATCTTCTGCGAGATAAAATCAAGGAGAGCTATATCAGAAAAAGTACCCAAGTTGTCTTTAAAGCTCTGATCTGCAAAAGAAGACAGCGTTCGGCTTGCTTTTGCTCTGTCTTTCGAAAAAAAGGTATGTTATTGTTGTAAAGAATGGAATAAACAGCCCACGGATCATGAAATTGATAGTTCCATCAGAGAAGAAAGAGAAAGAGAGATAGAAAGATAAATGGAATTAAGTTCACTCTCTTTGGGTGTTTTCCGTTCCCTTTTGTGTTTAAGCCTAATACGAGGAGTAGTGAAGTGAATTAGGGTTTTCTTTGAGAAGTAAAACAGACAGAGAGAGGTGATTCTCTAGCATCTTCATCTCCCAAACAGAGCTGCTTCTGCTCGCGGTTTCTCTCAAAAGATCAGGGTAGGTTAGCCATGAGAGAGAGATGGAGGGAGAGAGGGAGGTGGTGATGGGGAGGCAAGTGGTCAAAGTATGGTAGACTTGCGGTTTTGATTCACAGTGTGAGAAGAAGAAAAGGATATTGAGTCAAAGGAGAGCGGTTAAAATATACTACTACAGTACTAATCTTGTAATTAACGTTACGGCATGGTAGTCTTCCAAGCTAATTTATAATATAATAATAAAAAAATATGGATTTTATGGATGTGTTTTCAAGTATTATAACCTTTTAATTAAAAAAAATGTGAATATATTATTCATATATAATAAAATAAATTATAAAAAATATAACTTGTAAACCATGAAAGTTTTATTAATGATAATTAAATAATTAAATAAAAAAGACAATTTTTTTCTAAAAGTAAAAGATATAAGTATACGCAAAATTTTAACCTCAAATTTTCTTTTTAATTTATACTATTTTTTTATTTTATCTTGGAGGTTATTTTTTTTTGCCAAGAACAAATGGCTTTTATTTTTATAAACACATCATGCAAATACAATTGATTTATATAAAATATAAAAGGGAAAAAATTAATGATAAATTATAATAATTTCTTTAAAATATTATAAAATAAATAACAATAAATACTATTTTAGATAAATAAATAATTTTAAAAAATAATAGAGAATAATAATTAAAGTTTAAATAAAATAACTAAAGATAAGTTAAAAATAAATAAAGGAAATTATCAATTAAAATTTTCAAAAATAATTTTGAGTTAAACAGGTTAGGACAACATGCATGAATTGCAACTCAAAAGTCTAAGCTTACATGCATGCAAAAATAAAATAAAATTAAGAAGTAATATGCTTTCCACTTTAATTTTTTTATATATATATAACAGATGACATATTATTTATTATGATATACAATCGTTGGCTTTTATAATATTTTCTAACCATTTATGGTGATAAAAAGAATTGATTGTGAGTTTTATGAATTTAAAAATTCATTGTCAATCTATTTTTATTTAAATATACCCTTGAAATCCTTACAAACCCTTTTTTTGAACCTTATCAAATATCTAATCTCTCTAAAAAAAAATAAAAATTTAATAAATAAAAATACTTTAAGGAACTAGATCTACTTTTTTGATATTTTAAAGAACAAAACTACCTTCATCAAATTCTTTTTTAAAAGACAAAGCCATCGACACTAATATTACTATTTTTAGTAGCGTTTTCTCTTCTCTCACAACTTTTAAAGACTAAAAAAAACTAAATTTTAAAACAAAATCTGAAATACTAAAATAACGGTAACCACACAACAAATAAAGTAAAAACTATATAGGGAAATTTAAGTTTTAAATTCCGGTAACAAAGTGGGGCGTTTTTTTTTTAATTTAATCATTCTTCTTCTAATTTCTATGTTTAACTAACAAAATTTCTGTTCAATTCACCACCAAAATATTAATTTATGCTCTGTATATGTGAGAAAATACAAATTAAGTTTAAAATCATATTAATGTTACTTGAAATGATGAAATTGCAATTAAAAAACTTTGATTCTTAAAAAAGAAAAAAATTATAATTAGTATAAGTGTGCAGAATAATGGGATGGGCAAGCAACCAAATTAAGGAAAAAATGGTAGCTGAATGGCATGATAACAACCATCACCAATCCACCACCATTACTTTCCAAAGAATTATAAAAAAACACCAATATAAAAATAACTTCTAACAATAAAAAATTAAGTGTACTGCAAATTGGAAATCTAACATTATATATCTAGATTTTGTCTCATGTTTTTCAGGGAGGTTAGGTTTAATAATAGAGAAAGGAAGAATCATCCATGTCGATGTTATATAATGTATGTATTTGTTTTTTGGCACCACATAGGCTAGTTGATTAATTATAATCTGGGCGACAGCCTTTGACCAAATCCTGGGGAACCATGAACAAAAAATCCCATTATCCGTGGGTTATAATTGAGGAACCTGGGAAATCTCTCGTAGATTTTTCTCTTCAGAAACGTGTAGATCCAAGAATCATTATTTTTGTCTATCTCTCCGTCTTCTTACACCCTTCCTTAATGTAACTTTCCTTACTTTTTAATTTTCTTCTTACACCCTTAATGTAACTTTCCTTACTTTTTAATGATTAAGATTCTTACTACAGTGTGTTTGTAAGAAATAAGTCAAATTAATTTTATATATTTGGAAGAAAGAAGAAGAAACCATCCAATCTATGGATGGATGGATGGATCGGTTCAACAACACCCTAAGGTTGCTGCAACCATCAAAACTAAAAAGAAGCTGTGTATGAATGATGTTTACAATCTGCTTATCTTTTCGTCCTTCCAGATATTTATTATTATGATTATTATTATTCTTCGTGTTTATGATTTATCTCTTGTTATTGGTCTGTTTTTTGCCCTATAAAAACCAAACCCTAATCCTGAAGACCCGAAATGTCACGGATTTCAAAAATACGTGTAACGTTAGCGAAGCAGTATGCAATGCATTATATATTCTCCTTTACAGTTATTGACAGCTACAACTTACAACCTATCCCCATATATATCCTGTGAAATAAATTACAGGGAGAGAAGAAAAAGAAAAAAGAAGCATCGGCAGAAGTCAAATCAGAATTATATTTTAGAGGGAGCTAAACTTAAGATGACAAGTCAGATAAAACAAATATGAAAGAATTTTTTTTTATATAAACAAAAATGCTAGCCTAAAATAATTTGATGAATTTTAGCTTAAATAAAAGTTACAAGACCCTTTGATCAACTGACTCATGAATTGGTTTAAGCTGGATTAATGAGTTTTTTAATTAAAATAATATTATTTTTAATTTTTTAACAAAAAAATTAAAAATTATTTTAACTTGAATTAACCTGAAATTCATGATAAGGTTGGTTGAAACCTTCTAGGATTACAAAAGTTGTCTACTATGAACCTCAATATATTTTGTTTTGTTTTTTTGTTTAAGAATAAAGAAAGTTGGTGTTATAAAGAAAAATGTAGCAAGCGTCAAAACTTCTTAAATTTTTTTTTTTGTAATTTGAAACATTTTTATGATTTGATTTCTTTTTTTTTTTGGTAATTTGAAACATTTTTATGATTTGATTTTTACATTTTTTTTTGTTCAAAGGTTTTTAATAAATAAGTGATACAAAGTGAAAAAATAATAGAGAATTGGATTTTCAATGGCAACATGAGTATATTGCTTCTATTTTCTCCAAAATCGTAGGTGGGTGCTGGTTTTTCATATACTTGCATTCATTCGATATATTAATAGCCATCATCCAAATGAATAGGATGAAATGAAGTATATCCTCCATTCATCACGTGTGTACCTGACTTGACTATGAATTCTTTTCTTTTCTGTTTTAAATAATTTTAATTTTTTAAATTATATTTAAAATGTTATTCTAAATATAAGTTGTTGTTATTTATTTTTGGGTCCCACATAAACAAAAAAATCAAAAGAAAAAAAAGGCAATACAAAAATTTAAAAAGTATGAGAAAAAAATAAAAAAAATATATTAGTGAGGATAATATACCAGAAAACTTAGGAAATTACCGAAGACTAGTTGATAAAGATTAAAATACATAAGATTGAAAAAATTGATAGTGTATTTTTAATTGATAAAAGACCTATTGACAAAGAAAAATCAATTTAAAAAGAAAAATTCAAATAAAATGTTTAATGATTTAATTGGAATTTTTCAAGGTTTAATTGAATTTATTAATGGCTTAATTACAAGAAAAAATAATTTTTAAAGTCAATTTAATTTTTAATTAAAATAAATTAAAGTATTTTGAAAGAAATATATTAATAATTGTCTAGTTTATATCATGTAAAAATTTATTTATTTTGATAGAAATCGATTTATTATTAAAGTTCCTGTTCCATTGAGTAAATGACAAAGTGAAAAAAATTAAGAGTTTCAGAGAATATAACCAAAATAAATCAATAGAGAAACAACAAGAAAACCAAAAGAAAAATAGTTTAAGGCATTAGTTACTCCAGAACTGAATGTTTTTTGGGCCTCTAAATAAATCTGAACCTGCACAGAAGAATCTACTATTGAAGTTTCTTAACCCTGATACCAAGCGAAGAGGAATAAACTCACAAACATCATTCCAATCCGTTCCTCCACAGTGAAGATCAACATGTTTCTAGCAATCCAGAAGATATCATAACATTCTTTTGAAATTTACAGGTTGCAAGATGTTTCCATTCCAATACTACATGTTCATCCGTTTTAGAATGCACCAGGTCATTCCTAACCAGTCAATGAATCTACTTCACAATCTCCACAAGTAGTGACAGTGTAAGAAAATGTGCTAAATTGATTCAAAAGTAACTACACACATAGGGCAAAGTGCTTGTGCATCACTGATCATATGTTGTTATTAAGAAGTCAAATAAACATATCAACTTTTGGGGGTGTCAGTCCTTACCATAATAAAGTAGAAAATCAAGAAACTCCAGGATATTGAATCTGATCCATGTTGTGACGGGCTGACTTAACACTATAGTTACCATCCTTTTCATTAGCCTATTGTCGTGTATCAACTGAATCCGAAAGGGTCAAAATATGCTCCATAATCAACCTCGAAGATGGCATCAATTTCTACAGGACGCAAAATCCTCCTCAAAGTTAAACTCAAATTCACAGTAGTACTATTTAGAAAACATACATCTACAATGACATCATCCTGTTGAATAGAAAGACTATATAATATATAATCTACGAAATAAATTTTGCGAAGATTGTCCTTGTACCAACAATCAGTCCAGAATCTAGTTCTCTTTCCATTCCCAACCATAACACAACATCCCTTCTTAAAGGTCTCTGAAATTGGATCATTATTTATGACAACTAAAATATGCCATTTGAGATTGGAGACAACGAACAATAAAAAACATGAAGACCAATGTGAATTGTAGGCCTTTACCCGTGTAAGATAAATTGTTTTCATCTCCCTGAATCATCCTCACCAAGCCTCCAACTCCACTTGAAAAATAGTGCCTATGTATTGAGGTAATAACCCGAAGGATACCTTTGGAC